CTCATATACCACCTTTCTCCTGTTAGGGTTTCTAAGTATTTGTATATTTTCAAAGGAAAATTTTATATTTTAATATCTTTACTTGTACTTTTTTCCTAGTTTTTCCTGGATTTTAATTTTGTACTGTGTCCCAAAGTAATATAGCTGGACTTCCTTGGAGCCCTCTTGTTCCTGCACTGTGAGCAATGGTTGAGTTGAAGGAGAACTTCTGGGGACAAAAAGACACACAAGGAGTGGGGTTTAGTTCAGTGGCAGAGCACTAGCTTGTGTGAGGCCTTGGTTTACTCTTCAGTAACACACACACATACACACACACACACACACACACACACACATGCACAAAGACACACAAAAATCAATTTAGTATAATACTAGGTAGTTTAATTGAGGTGTATTCAATTAATTCATTTGCTAGGGATGCCATAACAAAGTATCACAACAGAAATTTATCCTAGTACAGCTCCAGAGGCAAGAAGTGTAAGAGCAAGGTGTTGGCAGAGTTGAGTCTCTCCAAGGGACATCGGGAAAGGATCTCTTCCAGGATGTGGCCAGTAGACAGTGTCTCCTCCCTGTGCCTTCACATCACCTCCCCTCTCTACACACCTGTGTCCACATCTCCTCTTACAGGACACCAGTCATACTCAATGAGAGTCCAGCCTAGTGAACTCATTTTAACTCAATTTTCTCTGTAAAGACTCTGTCTCCAAACACACTCACATTCTGAAGTCCTGGGGGTCAGGCCTTCAACATCTGAATTTAGAGAATGCAATTCAACCCAGCCCATCAGGTCATGGCACTAGCATAAACATTATTTCTCTAACATGCTTTCAAGAAAGCAAAAACTAGAACAAAAAACAATAAAAGGAGTATATATACCAACATAAAGCCTACACTCTCAGCATAACTAAAACAGAAAATGACCAGTAAATAAATACAAAAACAAGTGCTTATCTGAGCTCCAGCTCTTTTCACTTCTGGTATCTATGAAGGGAAACATTACAGCCCACAATGGCCTAAAATCTTTACAGTACATTTGGAAATGCCACAAACAGGTTTTGTTAGATCACAACAAATCAGCAGGACGGAAAAACCTGGGAACAAAGACTGCCATAGAGCAAGACCCTGGGAGGAGCTGAGCATGTGCTGGGGATGGAGTCATTTGAGAGTCATTTGCCTGGAAGATTTCACACAATTCTCTGCTCATAGAAACCAAAGCAATGGGAAATAGGCCAGTTCCTCCTGCCCCTCTCCCCACCACCCATTTTTGCAACTTCCCTCATCCTTTTTTCTCAGCAGCAGATAGGTCCTTTCAGTTGCTTGGGACAAAATCTGAATTTCATCCCAGGCTCCTGTGTTTCTCTCACACCCACTCTCTACCCAATGATTTCTATTTTCACTCAATCCCAACTCTTCCACCTTTCCCTCTCTTCTCTGCTGGCCCATTCCCTACCTTCCTACCTCATCACATCACCAGAGGAAGAAAAGAAGGGTTGCTTTGCACCCTACAACATGAGTAGTTTGGAGGTTTACCTTTATGTCACGGCAGACTTTGTCTGCCTGATTTCTCTCCTTAGATCTGCTAAGGAGCTATGTATGAGGGAGAAATAACTATTTTTTTGTTTGGGGTTTTTCGTTTGCTTGTTTTGTTTTGTTTCAAGATGGGTCTCCCTATGTTGCCCAGACTTGCCCCAATCTCCTCAATTGAGGAGTTCAATCCTCAATTGATCCCACCTCCACAGCCATCTGGGAGATTGGACTAAAGGCATGAAGCACCACACCCAGGTCAAAAACATCTATTTTTATGCAGTCACTCAAGTCTAGAAGGGAAGTCAACAAACTCTGTAAAGAGTCAGAAAATATTTTAGGCTCTGTGGGTTACAAACATCTGTGCAGCACACTCTTCTTTGTGAATGTTATAATCCTTTTAAGATATAAAAGACATTGGGGAAAAAAATGAATGAAATTAAAAGCTGGTTCTTTAAAAAAAATCAATAAATATAAAAACATTTAGACAGATTAACCAGGGAAAAAGGAGACTCAGATCATAATGTCAAGAGTGAGAAAGTAGGATCTCAAGAGGTCCTACCCACATTAAAAGGAAAACATGAGTACATAATGATAGTTCAGTTAATAAGCTAAAGAGGACCAATTCTGTGACAGACACAAACTAACAGATTTCACCCGAGGAGAAATAACCTGGCTACTCAGGAGGTTGAAATCAGAAGGATTGTGGTTCAAGGCCAACATGGGCAAAACAATTTGTGAGTCTCCATCTTAATGGAAAAAAGCTGGGTGTGATGGTGCATGCCTGTCATCCCAGTAAAAATGTAAAATAAGAGCATCACAGGTTGGCCTGGGCAAAAAGTGAGACCCTATCTTTAAATAAAGAAATAACCAGACTATGAGCACATGATAAAAGCGAGAGCACACAAGGGAGGGGTGAGGATAGGTAAGACACCTAAAAAACTAGCTAGCATTTGTTGCCCTTAACGCAGAGAAACTAAAGCAGATACCTTAAAGCAACTGAGGCCAATAGGAAAAGGGGAACAGGTACTAGAGAAAAGGTTAGATCAAAAAGAATTAACCTAGAAGGTAACACCCACGCACAGGAAATCAATGTGAGTCAATGCCCTGTATAGCTATCCTTATCTCAACCAGCAAAAACCCTTGTTCCTTTCTATATTGCTTATACTCTCTCTACAACAAAATTAGAAATAAGGGCAAAATAGTTTCTGCTGGGTATTGGGGGGGGAGAGGAAGGGGCGGAGTGGGTGGTAAGGAGGGGTGGGGCAGGGGGGAGAAATGAACCAAGCCTTGTATGCACATATGAATAATAAAAGAAAAATGAAAAAAAAAAAGAAATAACCAGAGTTAAAGGGTTGGAACTTGGCTCAAGTGGTAGAGCACCTGTCTAGCAAGTGCAAGGCCCTGAGTTCAAACTCCAGTTCTGCCCTCCCACTACCAAAAAAAAAAAAAAGGGAATTGAGATTTAAAAAAAAAAACTTCATTGAAAACATGGATGGCAAGTGAATACATGAATAGATACTCAACATTATATGATATTATAAGCCTTTAGAGAAAGACACAATAAAACATAATGACAAAGTTTAAGGGAAAAAAAGACTATAACAATACCAAATGTTGGCCATGTGGAGAAAATGGAACTCTCTCATGCACTGCTGGTGAGAATGTAAAGTGGTAGAACACTTTATCATTTTCTTAAAATGTTAAAACATGTATTTGCTATCTGATGCAGCCCTTCTAGTCTTAGGCATTTACACAACAGAAAAGAAAGTCTATGCCCACCCAAAGACTTTTCATAAATGTTCATAGTGGCTTCATTTGCAAAAAACAGAAATTGGGCAAGTCCAAATATCCATAAAAGGTAAATGGATGAATAAACTGTGGTATATCCAGGTAATGAAATATTATTAAGCAACTAAAAGAAGCAAACATGTTTTGCAACATATGAAGTAACCACAAAATAATTATGCTGTATGAAAGAAGTCAAACAACAAAAGAAGTACACTGTGTAGGAGTCCCTAGAAGTCAACAATTAATCTCTACAGTAGGTAAAGCGGGCAGAGTGCTTGCCTGGAAATAAGGAGGAGGAACGGAGTGTGGGACGGACAGATTACAAGCACTATATAATGAAACTTTTGGGGCAACAGATTTTTTTTTTCATGGTACTGGAGTGAACCCAGGGCTTGAGGCTTGCTAGGCAGGCACCATGACACTTTATCTATGCCCCAGGCCCTTTTGTTTTTATTTCTTTTTTGGCTTGTTCTTAAGGTAGGGTCTCCCTAAATGTTCCTTGGCTGGCTTCCAACTCAGGATCCTCCTGTCTCTGCCTCCCGAGTAACTGGTATTGCAGGTGTGTACCAGCACACCTGGATTCTTCATTATCCTGATAGGGAAAAGGATTGCACAGGTATGCTCATACATCAAAACTCATCAAATTTTACCTGTTTGTACAATTGTCACACACCATTTAATTCAATAAAGGAAATGCAATGTAAAACAAGGTGATCCTATTTTCCCTCTTTCAAAATACAAAAATTAAATACCATGATAGGATTCTAACTCTATGGTGGCAAGGTATGCCTAGGCAACTAACTTCAATTCACTCCACTCCTCTAAGTGCTCAAGGGCCTACCAATAAACTTAAGAGGAATCCAAACAAAATCAAAGAGAACACTCAGACTGCATCCCATTGACACAATTAATTTGATTGAGGGGATTTGCTTAATATTGTGGTTGCTCACTATTTTTTCTTGGTGGGTACAACTGGGAATCTGTGGTAGAAACTAGGAGGAGGCAGCTTCATGTCCAGCATTCCAGCATCTCGTTCTTTGGGGCGGGTGGGGGGCCTGGGAGGGTGTCTGTCTTTGGAAGTTATTACCACTGGGAATTTCGGAACACTCCACACTATAGGATCCATTTTGTACCTGTACCAATCCCAGCTCCATAACCCTGGGCAAATTACATAGGTATGAGGCTCCTTGGTTCTCTCATCTAAAAATGGGACAGAGAACTCTACCCGGTGGAATTCTTACAAGGATCTGTGAGAAGCAGGTAGAAGTGTTCTGCAGACACATAGAAAATGCTCAATAAACGCCAATATCAAATAACTACGAAAATGTAATTTTTTACAAGGAAAAAGAAATCCTTCTCAGTGTCTAAATTTTAAAAATGGAAATATGTAGGGCTAGCCTCCTCGGGAAAGGAACGCTCACGAAGAAACGTGGCCAGAGATCTGGAGGGCGGAAAACCTCTTCCTGGACAGATGAACTGAGAATACGTGCCTACCTCTGGACAGTCCTACACACCTGCCTAGCTTCCATTGCCGGTGTCCTCTTTAAGAACCCAGCCGTGACATCATCTCCCGACGCCGCGCAAGCGACCTTGGCAACGCCCCTACCGTTCCTCCGGACAGCCTCAATTGGCTGAGCAGTCCCGGGATTCCCCGCCCCTTCCTCCTATTGGTCCGGGCGCTCGCATCAATTGGAAGGGATAGGAGCGGTGATTGGCCGCCGGGCCGCCCTCCAGAAGGCCCCGGGGAATCGCGTAGGCTGCGCACTCTAGGGGGAGGAGCGCAGCCCTGCGTCGGGACTCGCCGCTGTCCTAGTCCGCCCGTCCGCCAGCCCGTCCCTCTTGCAGCCCGCCTGTTAGGCAGGGCCGGCCCGGCCCGGCCATGGAGTCCTACGACATCATCGCCAACCAGCCTGTGGTCATCGACAACGTGAGGCCCCGCAAGGGGGAGGGCGGGCGCCCCACCCCCGAGGTCGCCTGCGGCGGCGCTGAAAGGGACCCCTCCCGACTGTGCTTGTCTATCCTTCACTGCGCGTTTCGTCGCTCCCGCAGGGCTGCTAGGTTCCAGGCCAGGGCAAAAGGGCCAGGTGTGGGTAAAAAAAGCCTTGAGACCAGCCTCCTAAAGGCGCCCCGGAGCCCCTGCTCCAAACTGTCCCCAAGCCCTGGAAGTCCAGGGGAGCTGGAAACAGCCGGTGCACCTGTGCGTCTGGCGCGTGGACGCTTTCCCAGCCCTTCTCATTTGAGAATGGATCACTGGGCAGGTTTCGAACCCAACCCTGTTGCTTAGCCTTCAGCCCTGACTCTGGCTGCCTGATGAAGGTGGACTGGCATTTGCCCCTTTGCACACAACTGGCCTCATCTTTTAGAGGTGGTTGCCTTGGTGATCTTTCACCACTTCCCAAGAGGCTGCACCCAGAGGCAAAAAAATGCAAGTTACTCTACCCGCCACGTATCCACCACCACTTTTTTTGGCATCTTGACTTCTTTGACCCTCTTAAAGGCCCTCTGTGCAAAACAGAAATTCCACAACCTGCAAGGCATTGCTGAGTTCAGAGCCACTCTTCCCAGGACCAAGATAGCAATATGGGCTGTTTGGAAGCCTGAAAGGAAAGATGACTGGCTTCCTGTAGCCTTTCTTTGAGCACTGAGGCTCTGCTTGCTTTTAGCTGACCTGGAAGGATTTCTGGCCTGACATGGGAAGAAGATGAGGGCTGGGGTTTATGGATGTGCCCCTCATGCTTCTCATGAACCTGCCTTGGAGTTTTTGACCTTAGCTCACTAATGCTCTTTCTGAGCGCTGTCTTCACATGTGTCCCCGATAGGGTCCCTTAATGGTTGCCTTTTGTATCCACGTGGGCTGCTCTGAGTAACAGCAGGGGATGATTGCAATGATGCTAGACCTGGGCTTGGGGGATGTGCTGTAGACCTGCTGTCCAGCCTGCAGCATGAATGGCCAGACTACTTCCCTTCCTGGTGGGCAGATGACTCACGGCTAAAAACAAGTGTTTGAGTTCAGAGGGCAACCTCCTGACCCCTTTGGGCTTCCAGCCCCTCCTCTGTAAGTTGGAGGCATTTATTTCTGCACCACAGACATGGAGGGTTGGGGTGGAGATTGGCGGGAAGAGGGGTTGAGAAGCCAATTCCTTCATTGGGTGGGAAGTTTCTAGGTGTCACATTGATTTTGAGATTCTAGGTCCAGCTTCTAGGCTGGAGCAGTGACAGGACCAAGATCTCATAATGTCCAGGGAAGCCACTTGAGGAAAGGTGGACAGTTGACAGTTGTCCCATGTATCCAGTGGTCTTTCCTAGCAGGCCTTGTATGTGGTCCAATTCTGCTGGGGTTGGGTGGGGGGGACTCGAAAACATACTGCCCTGAGGGGTTGCTTCTAGCTGTGTTTTGGGAGTGGATTGTACGATGGATTCCTCCTGGCAGGAACTAGCCCTGGAATTTACAGAGGAGGAGATACTTCATGGTTTCTCAGTCACTACACTATTGACCTTCTCAACTGGATAATGGTTGATCTTGGGGGTGTCTGTGCACTGTAGGATGTTGAGTGGCATCCCTGGCCTCTAACCACTAGATACAACAAGCACACACACCCTATCTCCCTTTCAGTCACCTCACACTGCAAAATGTTCCCAGGGCAGGGGTGCAAAGTCACCCTTAGTGTTGAACCACTGGTGTATGTGTGAATTATTGTGTCCTCTGGGCAGGATCTCTGGCTTCCTCCCCAGCCTGCCTTGGTGCAACAGCCAGCTGCAGGGCACTATCTTCACTAGAAGTGAATGTCAGGAACTAAACATTGCTTTTCCTTGCAGGGTTCAGGAGTGATCAAGGCTGGCTTTGCAGGAGACCAGATTCCCAAGTACTGTTTTCCAAACTAGTAAGTGTTGCTCAGGCAGCCGCCTTCCCACCTTTGTTTGCTTCCTAAGAGATCATTGGCTGTGTGTCACAGTACTCTTTGAGGACATCTCCTACACTAGATTGGTATAGTTGACACACTTCAGAGATCTCTGAAAGGACAAGTGCTCTGGGTTTCTCCTTCTCTGGAGATTCTCACTTTTGTTTCTCCCTGAGCCCAGGAGGAGAGGCACCAGCATTGCCCTGGGGATGGGGCGTGGTGGCAGCAGCAAGAATAAAAGGGAGTTCTCTCCAGAGGGGAAATCTAAACTCTGGCAGAAAGAGAAGGAGGGATATCACCCCTTCCTCCCTGGAAATTATTTGTTTTTTGTGTCTTTTTTGGTGCTGGGGATTGAATCCAGGGCCTCCAGAATGCTAAGCACAGGCTCTGACCTATGTCCCCAGACCCCTTGGAAATGTTTTCTTAGGGGCTTGTTTATTTTCAAATTCTAGGAAATGTTTTGTTGTTGCTCTGGAGGGTCTTTCCCTGTGGTGCTGTGGCAGCAGGGTTGTGGGGCGGTGTGTGCCATCCCAGAGACAGCCTGAAGTCCTTGAGCCCCTCCAGCCTGTTGGGAAAATTTCCCTCAGGAGTGCCTCTCCTCAGATCCTGGAGACTTTGGAATTAGCGGCCTCCAGGGGGAGGAGCAGGATCCTTAGGCTCCCAGAGTGCTGGCTACAAGGAGTCAGAGCCTGCCTGGGCATTATAGAGGGCTTCACCTCTCCTTCTGGAACTCTGCAGATAATGGAAGGCTCCCATCTTTGTGGGTGTGGGCAATGAGGGTCGCAGTTTGTGACGGTAGCTCATCAGATCTTCTAATTTCAAGAACTGAGTCTCTCTTCCAAAAGCCCTGGCAAGGGAAGGGGCAACATCTACTGAGTGAGAGGGGGTGCAGAAGGGAGCCATCATCCTTCTTCCTGGGGCTGTCCTTCTCTGATGTGCAGATGACATTTACAGCCCCGTCCACTGAAGTGAGAGCATGGGCTGAGTTACTGTGGCTGCAGAAGACTGACTTTCTACCAGGGTTGGGCCATGGCAGCCTTCCATGGGCCTTGTCCCATTCCCCCTGGGCTTCCCGTCCTGCCAAGGCCTGTGTTTTAGTCCCTTGTCCCATGGACCCAGGCTTAGACCTTTGCCCCATGGCCACATCCTGATGCTATGGAGGACAGCTAGCTACTGGAACTTTGAAACTGTACTTTAATTTTCCTGGACACAAGCTCAGCTGTGAACCCCTGCCCGCCTCACTGACAATGTGTCCTTGTAGTGTCGGGCGGCCTAAGCACATGCGGGTGATGGCTGGAGCCCTGGAGGGGGACCTCTTCATTGGACCAAAAGCAGAGGTAAACTATGGGGCCTGCCTTTCTCTGAGTTGGGGTCCTCAGTCACAGGAGCACTGAGTGGTGGACAGGGGGCACTCCCCTGCTGACCTCTGTTACATATTCCAGCTGTGAAGTGCTAACTGTAGCACCTCCCTTCTGTGAAGTACAGGGTGACACACTCTTGTTCTAGGGAATATTGTTAGAGCCCCTCATGTCCTACCTTGAAGCTATTTTGAAACTACAGAGGAAAGAGCTGATTCAAAAGTAATTTAAGAGGAATCACAGCCAGGCATGGTGATTTCACACCTGTAATACCAGCACTCAGGAGATGGAGGCAGGAGATTGGCAAATTCCAGGCCAGCCTGGGATACAAAACAAGATCCTGTCTTTTATTTTTGTTTAAAAAGGGGATCACCCAGACTGAATGACTGCTCTGATGAGGACAATAGGGGCTACCTCTTTCACTCTATCTGTGGAGATCCACCTTGGGGATGCACACTAAATCATCTTAGCACCTTGGGGAGCCAGTTTGGGCTGTGGGGAGAAGAGGCAGCCAGCCCAGTTTGGACCAAGTACCATGGAGGCACCTGGGGGACACAGCATGGGGTACTGGGAAGCGAGGGCCTGGTTCTGGGCCTTAAAGAGAACACTGAGCAGAAGGACAAATGTGGGGCTTCCAGGACATGAGGTTAGTAACACCCACGATTGTGGGTAAGAGAAGCTAAGTTGTATCTGGTGAGAAAAGCACACCTAGAGGAATGTCAGGGCAGGTGGAGGCAACACGTCTGTGCAGGAAATAGATAAGGACTGGCTGAAGAGCTGGGGAAAGAGGCCCCAGCTGTGCCCTAGAGGATAAGGGGGTATAGGTGGCCCCAGGAGGAATGGTGCTGACAGAAGCAGTAACTGGAACTGTGCAGATAGAAACCAGGCAGTGTGAACAGGTGGACCATCAGCAGTAAGTTGGGAAGCTGGAGAAGCACAGCAATGGAAGAAGACAAGGGACTGTGGGATGGAACACATTGTCACTTTCCCTGGTCCCAGCCAATTGAAGCTAGCTGAGCTCTAAGGGCCCAAGACACAGTTGGTCTGATGTGCCTGTTCCAAGTTTAGAACTTGCCAGTGGGCAGGGGTAGCTTCATTCAGAGCAGAGGAAAGGGGCAGCCTTCAGGTAGGCAGAAAGCAGCTGCTTGCTTAGGGGCCTCGAACCACATCTGGCCATCCCACCCCTTCTCCCAGGAGCACCGGGGGCTGCTGACCATCCGCTACCCCATGGAGCATGGTGTGGTACGGGACTGGAATGACATGGAGCGCATCTGGCAGTATGTCTACTCCAAGGATCAACTGCAGACCTTCTCCGAGGAGGTGTGGCAGCCAGTCCTCACACCAGTCTCCCGGTTTTCCGGCTGAGCCCTCTCTCCTCTGCTTCCTTCCTGGTCAGGTTTCCTTGTTCCCTGTCTGCATTTTGGCTAGGGCCTGCTGCCTTTTCACTTGTCTGTGTGTACCTGCACAGCCAGTGGTGGTCAGGCTGAATGTCCCAGAAAGCTGTACCTTGGGAAGAGAAACTGCAGCAGATATTGGGATAGAGCCCTCAGGAAGGATGGGAGGCTGCAGCTACCTGTGCTCAAAGCAAGGCTTTTGGCTTGGGAAGAACCTTTTAGGGCCTAGCATATTGACTTTGCACATACCATGACTCTCCCATCTCTCCTAGCATCCTGTTCTTCTAACGGAGGCCCCACTCAACCCCAGTAAGAACCGGGAAAAGGCCGCGGAGGTGTTCTTTGAGACCTTCAATGTACCAGCCCTGTTTATCTCCATGCAGGCCGTGCTCAGCCTGTGAGTGGTCCTTGAGTCCCCAACCTCCCTGTGTCTGTCCTTTGACTTCCCTGGAAAAATGTCCCCTTGATCCTCTCAATGACTTTTCCTTTAGGAAGTCCCTCATGTTCTGTTTCAGGGTAGATAATACAAATATCACAGGGTCCCTTCCAAGGGTGAGGTGGTCCCCATGCCTCAGTGGCTGAGGTGAGGGGATACTGACCTGGTGACAGGTACGCAACCGGACGCACCACAGGAGTGGTTTTAGACTCGGGGGATGGGGTCACTCATGCTGTCCCCATCTATGAGGGCTTCGCCATGCCACACTCCATCATGCGGGTGGACATTGCTGGCCGTGACGTCTCCCGCTATCTCCGGCTGCTGCTGCGCAAGGAAGGAGCTGACTTCCACACCTCAGCTGAGTTTGAAGTCGTCCGGACCATCAAAGAGGTAATAAGGGTCAGGGAGTGTGGGCATGGCCTAGGGTGAGAAGGGGGTAGGATTAAGGCATTGGGCCAAACCCTGGCTGCAGGTATCCCTGCTATAGCCTTTGAGGGTTGTGTCCCTGCCTCCCACAGCGAGCCTGCTACCTGTCCATCAACCCGCAAAAAGATGAGGCTCTAGAGACTGAGAAGGTGCAGTACACCTTGCCAGATGGCAGCACGCTTGAAGTAAGTAGCCAGACCTGACACTGGGGTATCATCTAATGCTGGACTTGGAGGAAGGGGATGTCTGGCTTCTCTGGGGAGCCTATCTGTCACAATCCTGTCCTCCAAGGTGGGCCCCGCACGCTTCCGGGCCCCTGAACTGCTGTTCCAGCCAGACCTGGTTGGGGATGAGAGTGAGGGGCTCCATGAGGTGCTGGCCTTTGCCATCCACAAGTCTGACATGGACCTTCGCCGGACACTGTTCGCCAACATTGTACTCTCAGGTGGCTCAACGCTTTTCAAAGGTACTGTGGTGTGGGAGGTGGTAATGGCAAGACCAGCTAGGCCCTAGAAACTTGACCCCCTACCACAGCCATACTGAGGTTTGAACTCAGGGCCTTGCCTTTAGCCCTTTGTGCTTTTAGCTGTTTCTAGATAGGGTCTCCCATTTTTGCCTGAAATGGCTAAACCTCAGTCCTCCTATTTATACCTCTTTGTAAATACGCTTTTGGAATAGCTGGGGTAAAGGTGGGAGCCACTGTGTTAAGATTTAAAATGAAACTTTACAGAAGGTGAGGGGTAATAGCTATAATCCTAGCTATTACAGAGCAGAGGCATGAGGATCACAAGTTTGAGGCCAACTCTGTGCAAAGTTAGCAAGATCCTTTCTCAAAAACAAAATACAAACAAAAGGCAGTATTTAACTGTACATGATTTAAGTGACAGAGCAATTGACTAGGAATCTCAAGGTCCTGGGTTCAATATCCAGTATTGCAATAAATAAATAAATATTAAATTAAACCTTACTTAATTTAAGTAAGAATAAGTTTACAGTGGAGGATAACTTTATAGTTAGGAAGGGCATGGGGGCCAGGCAGAGCCATGTGACTTACTATTTCATCTCATATCCCACTCTGAGGAACCCATACCCACAGCCAGGGTGCTGGATCATGCCTCCCTTGGATTGCACTCCCTCCTTACCCTAGTCCTGGAGGGGCTGCTGAAAGAGGAGCGACAGCAGCTGGGGTCACCAAGGATTGGGTATGGGGAAGTAGTGTCAAGATATAGACCCCAGGCTCCACTATCCTTGTATTCACAGGCTTCGGTGACCGATTACTAAGTGAAGTGAAGAAGCTTGCCCCAAAGGACGTTAAAATCAAGGTGAGATTGTGGAGACCCCCCTCTCACCCTTGTGTCCACCCATCCCTGCCCTCCCTGTCTGGCTCCTTTCCCCCTTCCCTCTCACACCTCTGCTGTCTGTCCTTGGCCCTTGGTGGGAGGGTGACTGCTGTGTGGTTTACATGTCTACTTGCTCCCTTTAGATCTCGGCCCCTCAGGAGCGGTTGTACTCCACGTGGATTGGGTGAGGCAGGGCTCAAGGGGAGGGCTCTGGGAAGAGACCATTTTGCCCTGCACACTTCTCCCAGGGTTGGCCCAGGCCAGGTAGAGGTGGGCCTAGGGAGTGCCTAGGGAGGGCAGTTGGCCCAATCCACAGGTTGATTCTGTCCCTTCATGCTCACAGTGGCTCCATTTTGGCCTCGCTGGACACTTTTAAGAAGATGTGGGTATCCAAAAAGGAGTATGAAGAGGATGGCTCTCGTGCTATTCATCGAAAAACTTTCTAATGCCCATGGAGGGTGGAGCATGTTGGGAGGTGGGATGAAAGGGCAGCCAGAGCCCTTGACACCTTTTGGTCTGGGCTCACATTCTAGGCTTAAGCCCCTGCATGCCCTGACCCCAGGCAGGTGGTACAGCAGTGCTCTCTTTAGCCCACCTCTTCCCTCCCCACATGTGTGCCCACACTCAAAGTAACATTTAGCTGCATGGATGGCAGTCTGAGGCCAGAGCATAGGAATTGAGCAGAGCATAGGAATTGAGGAGCCCAACATTGGGTTGGTCTGAGTGTACCCCTTGGCAGGGCCAGTTAGGCCTATGCTCCTTGCTCTAACTCTTGGAGCTGCTTCCTAAGCTCCAAGACCACACACCTGGACATCCCATTTCCTCTGACAGGCTCCCACCCAGGGCCAGAGTTCCTGGATGCCAGGGGAGCAGGCTGAAGGAGGGGCAGCCAGCAACTGGTACAGTGAGGCAAATCAAAGTATCTCATGCCACCTCCTCTTCATGACCCAAGAAGACCACCCAAACCCTTCCACACTCTCCTCCTGTCTCACTGGGAAAAAGCCCTCCTGTAATGCTGAGTACTGGGCAGTCCTACATTCCCAGAAAGGGGGTGTGACCCAGTGTCAGTGTCAGAGCCATGGACAGCCACAGCCAGCCACAGTTGGTGGTTTGCCGCACTCGCCTTCAAAGCACTTCATTGACTTGCTGCTCTCTCTCCTTTACCCCAGTACCCTGGACAGGAAAGGGTTAATTGTCTTAATTTGTTAAGGGGAAGCCACTTAATCAGGAGTCAGGCCCAAAGGGGGGAGGACATACTTCCTTCTCACTTCCCTCAAGAAAAGGGTCTTCACTGTGGCCAGACCCCCACTCCTCTCATACATGTACAATAACACAGTTGCCTGAACAAACCTTTTTTTGTAAATCATTATAGTAATAATTATGGACAAGGCCCAATGTGTGGCTCTGTTTTCTTGTGGCTGTATGTGCTGGTTGCTTACCTGTCCCTGGGGACTTTTAGAGAAAGGACCGGAGAGGATGCAGCTCAGCAGTGACACTAGCTCAGAAGCATGAGGCCTTCAGTGGTTGGCAGGGCAACAAGGCACAGGAGGAACCAGAAGGCCGGGCTCCCTGGAGCAGAATTCTCTAGCCTGGTTACCCCTTTGCTGGGACCCACCAGGGGAGGCAGAGAACAAGGCCTGCCTTCCCCGCCTTGTTCCTAAATAGGCCCATGTGCATCACTTCCCCTGTTCTCATTGAATACCTGGACGAGTCCTGCTCAGACCACTGAGGCAGCCTGTTGCCAGCAGTGATGCAGGCTCATCAATTCAGGCAGGTCAGGATGGGAAGCAAAGGAGTCTAGGAATTAATGGGTTGGGAGTGAGCTGACTCCACAGGAACAGGCTGAGAAGCAAGCAAGAAGGGTGCTAGAGGCAGAGGGCTTTTAACAAATGATTTGGGAGAGTACCTAAAGCAGCTCTTGGAGGGTGCCACATGTTTAGGGCCAATGGTAAAATTAAGATCTATCTCTTGCCCCAATAAACGTACAGGTCAGGAAAGAAAGACACACTGGCCTTTTCAGTTGAGGGGGCCAACAGCAGAGGTATCTAAATCAACAGGTGGGGCAGGTTGACTTGAAAGGACCTAGGGGCGTCAGCCAGGAATGGGGAAGGTTCCAGGAATAGGTTAGGGCTCAAAGAGATGCCTTGGACAGAGGTGCTAGAGAAAAGGTCAAGTCAGCAGGGAAGAGTAAATGGTCTGTGGTGGCTCAGTGTGGTATAGACCAAAGAGGTCTGGTGGCCACCACGTGGAGAGGGCTCTTAGCTATGTCTTAGGCCAGGCAGCAAGCCACAGGAGTATGGTGACCAGAGCCAAGTGTTGAAGGCAGTTGAGGTGAGGGGCCAAAGGAAAACCTAGAAGTGAGATCAGGCAGGAAGAGAGAAAGTACTGAATTAGGCTGTCTGTGCAGGGCATTTTGTGAGGGCTTTTGGTCACAGTGCAGTGTCAGCTTTTACACAAAAACCTCATTAGGTGGCCCTGTAGACCAGTTCATCCTGTTTGTTCAAGGTACCACTGGCTCCTAACACCCAGGTTTGGAACCTTATCACTTGACTCTTCTCTCTCTTCCTTATCTTCCTCACATTCTGTCAGTCACATATTTGTGGCCTCTTGTGGAGACCTCTCATACTTGCCCTTTTCCACTGGGGCCATTACTAGCCTAGCTGATGACCATGGCTCCATTCTCCTACTCACCCAATCATTTGCCCTTAGTTCTCATGTCTGGACAACTACTCCAAGTATCAAGCAATACTCCAGTGCCTTGTGAAATAAAACTTAATTGGTATGATGCTGGCAAAAATCACCCTCATGAATCACACATGTTGTGTTTGGTTCAAGCCCCTTGAGACCCATTCCTTCCCAGTCTTTGTGTCCTGCTTCTCCTGCCATCCTCTGCTCATGCTATTCTCTCCATGGTAATGATTTTCCCTTTTATTTGCCAAAACCCTGCCCTTTAAGACAAAGTTGAGTGCAGCAGCATCCTACCTTCCACCAGGTTGAGCTCATGGTGTGCCAGGCTGCTCTATATTGGAAGAAAGCTACAGAGGAAGAAGGTAAATGACTAGGAGTAAACCTTGTGGTTGGAATTGGAGGTATTATGACATGGTTTTATTGGACATAATAGGTAGATACTGAAATAAATGTACATCTGTTTGTAAGCACCAGGGTTAAAATAACATACATGCATTTCCTAGCCCTGTTTGCTGACAGGGCCTGGAAGCACTGACATCCCGGGTAACAATGAGCAGATGGTGTCCAGGTCTTGGATTTCTAAATACTATCTTTTGATTCCCTAGGATGGGAAATACAAGATGTGCCTAGAATGTCTTGTAACACTATAAGGTAAGCACTTGAAGAAAGGGCTTATCTAAAGGATGCAAAACCAACCTGAAGGAGCACCCCTTGTTCAAATCTGTAAGGAATTATAAATCATCTAGCAAAATATACATGTGTTTGAGCACCTGCGCATGCCCTACTTGGACTGGCCAAGGCAACCTGGTGCCAGCAGTGATAAAGTCTGGTCAGCTCAGGTCAGGACAGGAAGGGAGGGAGGCCAGGGAGTGATGGGCTGGGAGTGAGCTGGCTCCCCAGAAACTTACTGATATAAATGATTGGAGAAATATATACATGGGGAAAAAGGAACAGCTCTTCTTTCAGTAGGATTCCAATTAATGGAATGATGGAAGAAGAAAGGATACTGTTGGGCAAACACATTATTACAGGCAAAAATGGATGCAAAAGTTAGTTGGAAAAATAAGAATATTTGCATTGTCTTAGAGTATCTCTCCACAAGGTACTAATTGCATAAGGAAAAGTCACTTTATGGTAGAGAAATATGGTAGACACCACCTTAGCCAAGTGATCAAAGTTTACAGTAATAAGCCATTGTCTCTTGATTCACTAAGAAGGGCCCAATTTTCTCTGGTATTCTTTTAAAAAAAAAAGTCCCTCTGACCAGGAGCCTGCTAGCAGTGGGCAAACCCAAACTGAAATTAATAGACCAGTTCTTTTGTTCAAAAGTGACAAGTCATGAAGACAAAGAAGGACTAAGTATAACATGAGATGCTGAGTTAGACAAGGATTTTCAGAAAGCCAGCAGAATCCTGCTAAGGTCTGTTGATTCGTCAAAGGTACCATGTTAGTGTTAATTTCTTGGCTTCATTGAATGCACTATGATAATGTCTGGTGCTAACAGGGAAAACTGGTTGAAGGTTCAATAGAAACTCTTTGTAACTAATAGGAACTATTTTGCAGCTTTTTGTTTTTCATAACAAAAACAGGGACAGGAACTGGGTACCTGTGTATCACACCTGCAATCCTAGTTACTTGGGAGGCTGAGATCAAGAGGATTGAGGTTTGAGGCCAGCACAGGCAAATATTTCACAAGATCACATCTCCAAAATAACAAGAACAAAATGGACTGGAGGTGTGCCTCAAGTGCAGTGCCTGTGCCTACTAAAAGCCCTGAGTTCAAACCCTGATCCCCCCAAAAAATAAAGTGGGGGAACAAAAGGACTCGGGCTCTGGATCTAAGTGGCCTGGATTCATAACCCTATCTCTATAGATTACTAGCTACATAATCCTGAGCTTTCCTAGGTTTCCCATCTTTAATGGGGGTGTGGGTAATAATGGCACCCCCCTCATGGGTTTACTAACAGCCTGGAAGATGAGCCTGGAACATTTTGTACCAGAAAATATAAATCTAAGAGAATGATAGGGACACATCGAAAGGCCACAGGATCCAGCTTGAAAAGATTCCCACTGACCAAATTTGGAACAAATGCAACATCAAAAAAATGAGTCATGAATGGTAATCCACTGGATAAAGTAAGAAAGCAAGAATCCATGTGATATAAATTAATAAACTGAAAGTTTGATAAGGAACAACAAAGTATTGACATCTCAAGGTATCGGCCCATAAAATACTAATAATTAAAAAGCACCCTTGCAATGGAGAAGGCTGGCATACGTTAGCTTAATCAGGTGACCAAAGTAAACCTCATCAGCAATAGGATGTCAGCATTTTGTGCTTCCATAGAAGGGCACCACAGTGACATTCCACCCTTAGATGTGGACCCTGAAGCCAATCATGAAACAAGACAAACCCAAATTGTTGGTTGAGTCAGTCAGGAGAGTGGAGAACAGATAGGAGCTATCCCAGGCATGATAACTAAAGGCAACACCTGATCCTGAACTGGATCCTTTTGCTATAAACGACATTGAGACATTTAGTAAAACTTGAGTAGGGTCTGAGGATTCAATGACTGAAATATACCAACTGAACTTTCTTGATTTTGATGGTCATTCTGTGGGGATTGAGAGAGTTAAGGTGTGATGAGACATCATCAGCAATTTTCAAGTGATCCTAAGCAAAACTTTTTTTTCTGTACATGCAGATAGTTTAATACCATTAGAGTGAGGCCTGTAATCTTCCTTCATGAGGGGTGATGAGATCCAGTTTCAAAGGCACTAAATGGTATCCTAGAATGAAGCTTACTTCCACACAGGAACACTGGTTTGTTCCTTCTAGGGGAGAACATTCTACTTCCTCTCTCGTCCAAAGGCTCTCAGTTACCAAGCAGCAAGGAAATTACCTGTTCAGGTTCACATAAGCCCAAGGCAGAGATTCTCAGATTGGAAGTGCCTGGAACCAAATGTAAAGTTCTGATACCTGTGTCCCACCCCCAGATACTCTGTTTCAGTGGTCTGAGTGTGGCCTTGGTCCTGGGATTTGTAAAAGATTCGCAAGTGAGTGATTCTTCTGTGCAGCTAAATTTGAATACCTACTGACCCAGGAAGGGGGAGTTGAATTTACTGGGCTGTGTGTTTCTTACTGCTGCTATAGAAGGTTAATCACATAGTGGCTTAAGATGTAAACTTATTATATAGTTTTGAAGAAGACCAACATGGGTGCCACTAAGCTGCAACCCAGGTGTCTGCAGGACTTCTCTCTGTCTGGAGACTCTAGGGAATCATTTCCTTGCCTTTCTCAGCTTCCAAGTCTACTTGCATACTTTGGCTCAAGGTCCCTTTCCCTGATGATGAAATATTGTATATCTGACCAATCACACATTGTCACATCTCCCTCTTTTCTACCTTCCTTGTGCTTATTGGAACCACCTAAGATAATCCAAGAAATCTCCCTATTTTAAGGTCGATGATTAGCAACCTCTGCAACCTCATCTGCAGCCTTAAGTCCTGTTAGTTATGGGACCTAACATATTTACAGATTCTAGGGACTAGGACAAAGATATCTTTGGGGGATCATTATTCTGCCTACTACAGTCTGGAAATGTTCTTTTAGGAAATGGTTTAAAATTTAAGACAAAAGGGGGGAAAGAAGCATGGGGGACTTGGAGATGAGGGAGCTAGAAAGAGATTTTGGAAATCCAAAGCTCATCCTAAGCAGTATGAATTGGAAGGAGAGATAGTAAAAATGGACAGGAGGTCTGCCAGACCAGGAGGGCTTCTCAGCAGCACCAGAACAGTCCTCAGGATGGTTAGCAGGAAACTTCTCAACAGCATTAAAGGTGGTATGTAGGAGTTAGATTTAATAGATGGCTAGCTAGGGGCTCCCCTTCCCAGAGGAAAGGGTCTCAAGTGACAGATAAATACTTGAGCAGTTCCTGGAAGCAGAGATAATGGCAGAAAGGAATGAAAGCAATAGCTTAGACTACACGTTCAACACAGGTAAGCTAGACAGATCAGGACCTGTCCCCTTGACTCCTATCACGAACTCAAACTCAAGATCTAGTTTGAATGCTAGTAACTCAGGCCACATCTCTGACAAAACTCAACATAAAAAGGTATTTTCATTTTACAGAAAAATTTTTTGAGAACTAAACTTGTCCAAGGTATCACAAATATAGTAAAATGCTTTTTTTGTTTCTCTGCTCCCTAACTTAATTTCCGTGTGTTTCTAGAGCAGAAGAAAAAAAAAGTTAACTCTTTTAACACCAAAATATTTGAGCTGGCTTAAGTAGTAGAGTGCCTGCTTAGAAAGTTCAAGGCCCTGAATAAAAGCCCCAGTACTGCCAAAAATACTACTACTTAACTATCACATATTCCCTTTGTAGCAGAGAGGAGGATCAGAAGAAAACAGACTAGGCCTGAGTCCTGAGAAAGTAGCAGGGAGGTAGGGATGGCATAACAGAGAGATAAAACCTGAGAAATCTGAACATGAAGAAGGTCACATAGCACCAGGGAGGGGAAAGTCATGTAGCACTAGGATAAATTAGCCAATAAAGTTAAATATATGGATTAGACCTTGCTTTTTGCTTCTGTAACCTGCTTTTAAGGGTATATAAGGTGAGACCCCTTTGTTCTCAGGGCTCAGCCTTTGGACATGAATCTGCTGAGTCTGTGCTGGCACAATAAAACATTGCTTCCTGTGAATTGCCTCAGAGTCCCGTATTTCAGCTAGCAACCTCCTGCAACACTTCTTGGGGACTCATCCGGGATTGCAGAGATGGTGAGTTATCACCTCCCTTGTCACTGGAGTGCATCCCCCCAGACTGCTGAGAGAAGATACCACCAGACACCAACGGACAGCTTGGTCCAAAGGAGGGGATTCATCCTCCCAGCAGGTTGGGATGAGGGCCTTGGATGCACAACAGAACCCAGTGAGGTGCAGGAACCAGCAAGGGGAAGGGAGCACCACTCATCAGACTGGTAAGAACCTGTGTTCAAATTCACGCCTGCCCCAGGAGGCAGAAGGGGAGACTGATCACCTCCCAGAGAGGCACAAGTAACTGCCTTTTTTGGGGTGAAACCGTGTCAGGTTGAGGGAGCGGTATGGATGCACAGTGCTTTGTGAGAGTATATGAAAATGTGAGCTGAGATGCAGCCCAGCTGTGAAGTGAGTGAGGAGTCCCCTCCCACTCTGTGTCTATCTGGCAGGCTGGTAATGGGAGGATATGGGTGGAAATCAGAGTAAGAACACTCCCTTGGAGTGTATGATTAATAAGTTTAAAAAGGGATTTAATGGAGACTGTGGAGTTAACTCCTAACAAGCTAAAGGTCCTTTGTGAAGTAGATTGGCCAGCTTTTGGTGTAGGATGGCCCCTGGAAGGGTCACTGGTTAATGAAGTTTACAGAGTAATTGTTAAAACAAAAAAAAAAACCTAACATCTAGGAGAATGGGAAAAGCCAACAGGCTAAATTGGTCTTCAAAAGCCAGACTCTGTTGTATATTTAAATTCAGGTAGCAATTTATTGGGTGGACTAAGGAGAAATCGGTCTTTCAGTCTTGATGAGTAGCTTTGGTGCCCCAGTTTTCACATCTTCACCCAAAATGGGCATCCTGAAGGAGGACTGAGGCTCAGCACTAACTGACCTCTTACAAAAATTAACACATGAAGGATGGACTTGCACTGATAAATAAGATCTGGTCTGACTTGAAAGAAAAGGAATGTTGCAAAAGGCTTGTGAATGTAGAGAGGGGGAAGTGGAGGAATGAAAACAAAATTGGGATGAGATCTTCATGAATGAAGTGAGGGGAGAGAGAGGAAAGAGAAGAAAAAGTGAAATGTCATAACATGTTTGGAGACAGAAAAAGATGAAAGGTTTAATGCACTCCATCAGCTGAGTTTTATGTCTTGAAAATAAAAAGTAGAAATCAATTTAGGATTATTAAAACATGCCAGAAATACTAAACTTGCTGGCACCTTTACTTCTAGGGAGTATAAACAGGGAGAACCTACCTTAAAGGGTGAGAAAAAAGGAGCAACTTTTAACTGTTGCTAGTAAAAAAAAACTGTTCCAAAAGGTAGGTATAGTAGGCTTGGTCTGTTATTGAGACAGTCATGAGTTTATGACTTATGTTTCCCTTGCTAATGGCTGGTCAGATTATGCATCCATCTAATGGTGTACTCACTGTGTGTATATGTGCAAGCATCTTTAAAATGGTTCTTAAACTGCTGCTATACAGTTGTTAAGATACTTA